TTTCATCCTTTGTCTCTAATATTCTTTTTAATTAGGATTTTCCCCATTGTCTTCTGTAAAGCTAGTATAAGAGTTTCTACCCTTGCCTCCTCTGCCTGAAGGCCAGACATGTTACGTTTCACCCCTCCCTCAGGCTTCTCTGATAACATCAAGGAGGTTAGGAAATGTCATCTCTCTTAAATTGGCCTGAGCCCCCACTGATAGTGTTCTCCCAACTTTGGGGGTCCCTGCACCCTAGTTCTATTTAACTACTTAACAATCAGATTAGCTTTTTTATGAAGGAATGTTTACTTCAAAGCTGTAAGAACAAATGTACAGGGAGCAGCTAGGTGGCACATTTGATAGAGCACTGGCCCTGGAGTCGGGAGGACCTGAGTTCAAATCCAGTCTCAGACCAAACACTTGACACTTACTAGCTGTGTAACCCTGGGCAAGTCACTTAGCCCCAATTGCCTAAAAGAAAAAGAAAAAAAGAACAAATATACAGACATTCTACCCCCACACAATTGAGGGCATAATCCTTCCCTGTACTACCTCAGTCTCTGGGGAGAAGACGAGAATCGGGTTCACAGTTTAGCTCAGTTCCTATGTAGCATAATCCCACAAAGTCCAAGTTCAAAGCCTTTCCTTGAGTTTGAATCCCAAGCACCCTGGCTTCTCAGGGCTTTGTTGCTAGACTGGCAGCAACATCCAGTGTAGAATCTGGCTCCAAGGTCATGATAACTAATATAAAGTATCCCAAAAGGCAGAATAGTGTATAGCATAGAGAATTCAGAAGTTCAGTCAGAAAGCCTGGAGTTCCAGTCCCACCTTTGACCGATTGTGTCACTCTGGGCAAGTTACTTAACTTCTCAGTGCCCCAGGCAAATCTGTAAAACTGCAAGTTCCAGAAGGGTAGGAATGAGGGAAGGGAATAAGCATTTATTAAGCACTTACTATGTGTCAGGTACTATGCTAAATGCTTTTACAAATATCTCATTTGATCATCAAAACAACCCTGGGAGGTAGGTGCTACTATTATTCCCAATTTACACATAAGGAAACTGAGGCAAACAGAGGTTAAGTGACTTACCCAAGGCCACACAGCTGGTAAGTGTCAGAGGTTGAATTTGAACTCAGGTCTTCCTGACTCCAGGTTCAATGCTGTATCCACCTACTGCCTCAGTCATGATGGTGAATCCACATTACATGAGAATCAGTTGAAGGAACTGGGAATGTTTAGCTTGGAGAAAAGAAAACTCAGAGGGTGGGAAGGAATAGAATAGCTGTCTCCTACTAACTGCCTTGTGGAAGAGAGATTAGCCTCGTTCTCTTTGGGCCCAGGGGATCAAACCAGGAGCCATGGGGGGAAGCTGCAAAGGAACACATTTCAGCTTGATGTCAGGAAGAACTTCCTCGCAATTCCGGCCGTCCCAAAGTGGATGGGCTTCCTTGAGAGAGGAGGTGGGTTTCCCCACCTTGGAGGTCCTTAAGCAGAGACTGGATGGTCACTTATTATATAGTATGGTGGGGATTCCTTTCATGGATGGACAGGTTAGACTAGATGGCCCCCAAGGAGCTTTCCATCGCTCAAGGGAATGGTAGGGTCAAGGGACAGCTTTTCAGGTTGAACCTACATGGTGCAGGGAATAGAGTGCGGGACTTCAAGTCAGAAAGTCCTGGGTTTGAATGCTGCCTCAGATACTAGTTGTGTGACTCTGGGCAAGTCATTTCACCTCTGCTGGCCTCAGTTTCCTCATCTGTAAGATAAGGGGAGTGGACTCGATAATCCTTAAAGTCTTTTCCAACTTTAAATAGATAGTAGGTACTTAATAAATATTGATTGATTGATTGATTGATCCTCTGAGTATGGAACACTACATATACTGCCAGACTCTGCTTTGCTGAAATGCTTTTTATCTCTTTACCTTTCCTTTTTCCACTTTGTTACAAGGGATAGCTCTCTGGGGACCGGAGAGGGGAGGGCCATATTTGGAAATGAAGGGCATATAAAAACAAAAAATGTCAACATATTTTTTCAAAAAGAAATAACAGTCACCAAGTGGCTTCTTAATGAGGGAAGCTCAGGCTGTTTTTTCTGGCAGACCTTGAAATGAAGCACGTCAGCACGGCTATATCTGAAAGACCTATAATAATTCAGAAATGGTGCAACATGTCATTTCAGTCATTGGCAGTCACATGCAGGTGCCCTCACCAGGAAAGGGTAGGGCTAGGGTACCATCATCTTGGCCACCTTTCCTTGTGGCTGCTTAAAAGCCAACCCAAACCGGCAACGCAGCCTGAACAGAATCCAGTGTGTCTGCCTTTGGGGCCAAGGTCAGCTCCCCAGGAGGCCTCCTTTAGGAACTTCAGTTCTCCCCATACCCTCATCTTCCCATGCACATCAACAACTCACTCAGTATTTCCTGAGGAGTGGAAAAATGGACTTATCTGCTGTTCTCTAAGGAATAAAAGAACATTCAACCTGAATGTTGCCTTTGTCTCCAACACACAGGGCCAAATCCCTCTTTGAGGCCCTTGTCCCCTCTCTCCTGGACTATTTCAGCTACCTCGGTCTCCCTGCCTCATGTCTCTCCCCTCTCCAGTCTGCAAAGATCCTCTTCCAAAGGTCCAGACCTAGCCATGTCATCCCCCTGCTCCCAAACCTCCAGGTTTTTGCCTATTGAATCTAGATTAAATTAGGAGCTCCTCGGCCAGGCATTTAAAGCCCTCCAAGGTCTGGCTCCCACCTCTCTTTCCAGACTTGTTTCTTATTATTCCCTTTCATGTACTTTGTGTCCCAGACAAAGTTGTTTACTAACTCTTTCCCAAAGCCAGCATTCCACCTCTGTCTCCATGCCTTCACAGAGGCTCTCGCCCGACACCCTCCCCCACCCCCAGCATCAGCGTCTACTCTTTCCTCACTTCGGCCTCCTCCATGGAGCCACCCATGTTACAGAAGCCACCTGATGTTACAGAAGCCACCTCATGTTACCGCACCTTCTCCCTCCCCAATTACCTGGCCTTTGCTTATCTCTATTCATGTAACATACAAGCTGCCTGAGGGGAGGGACTGTTCCTTTTTTTGTCTTCCTATACCCAGTGGCTAGCACATAGTAGGCATGTAACATGTTTGTTGAATTGAATTTCAAGTGGTACAGTGGAAGGAGCACTGGCTTTGGAGTCTGAGGACCTGAGTTCAAATCTTGACTCTGTCACTTACTGGCAGAGTGACCTTAGGTAAGTCACTCTTACTTTTGGGGCCTCAGTTTCCTTATCTGTAAGAAAGATTGGACTCTATGGCCCTTAAAGTCATTTCTAGCTCTAAATCTCAGATCTTATGAGTGCTGGATCTGGGGTCAGAGGAACCCATGTTTGAATCATGGCTGTGTTACTGTGAGACCTTGCGAAGGTCACTTAATCTTTCTGGGCCTCAGTTTCCCCATCTTTAAAATGAAGGCATTGAACTGGATGTCCTGTAGTCTTCTCCAGCACCGTCTAGTCTTACGAATGAACTTCCTACATTTATTTTGGATTTTATGATCCTAAAACTGATACATGTAACTATTAAAATGAAGACAGACCAGGCTGGAGACTAATTTTTTTTTCCTTTTAAATCTGGAAAAGACATTAGCAAAATAGGTTTCCATACATTGGAACGTTTAGTGATAAATCCATCTGCTCTTTTGAGGCCTACAGGCTTTATGAAGACCTGCTGTTTTCCATTTTGTTTTACATAAACAACTGTCTTGTAGAAAACAATTAATTCAAATTTGTTTTGCATGTCTATAGATATTTGTAATGTTTTTTTTTTCTTGCTTTCACAATGAGTGGGACAGGGGGCTGAGGGGGGGAAATTTGGAAATAACTGACTCTATAATAAAGACCATCTGTTATTTTCCCCCAATGGGCAAATCACTGTGACATTTAAACAACTTGGTCTGGACTTGGGATTTCCTAGGTGTTGGGTGTTCCTGAGTGAGGACACTTTCTCTACCAAAGCAGTTTGGCACTTCTCTCTGCAACTTCTATTCCTAGAGAGCTGCTTGGCCCCTTAGAGGCCAATGACTTGCCCAGGGTCACACAGCCAGTGTTTAGCCAAGGCAGGGTTGAACCCAGGTTTTCCCGACTCTCTGGCCAGGTCTCTAACCACTAATCCTTTCTGCCACCTTTAAACAATTCAACAGCTTCAAAATTCAAGGGAAAAAAAACCTGTTAGGTTAGCAAAATGTCGCCATATAAAATATAGAAGTCATTTCTCTTGCTGTAGATTGCTATGTGAATTTAGGAGCCACCTAGGACATCGTCAGCCTGTGCTGAAAGAGCCTTGAGGAGTCACATTGTGGAGGAAAACAGGGAGAGAGGGAGAGGGAAGTCATTCAAAGTGACCTGACTCTTTTGAACACACACTGACTGCCATGCTTTAAAATAGGTTTTATTGCTGTCTATTGTTTTTATAGCACTTTCATTTTTGGACATAACCCACCCCTTGACCTACCTAGCTGGACTCGATTTTAAAACACTCTGCTCTCATCCCTTTTGGCCAGTAAAAATGCAAAGTACTCGAATCTTTTGGGAAAGCCATGTGGCAGTACACAGTGGAAATTACAAAAACAAGTCATAACCTCTGACTCAGTAATTTAGTTTTGGGAAATAGACCTTGAGAGTGTCATTGAGAAGGAAAAAAAGAGCACTTCATCCAGAAAGGCTTAAAATGGCATCATTTGTAATTTCAAAAAACAGGAAGTGACACATCCAATCATAGGAGAATACTTAAGATGAATCATGGTATGTGACTATAACAGCATACCACAATATAATTAAATCAATTAATAATTAAGATAAACAAACATGAGGAATATAGAGATATGTGGAGGAAAAAACCCTTTGTGAAACAGTACAAAGTGAAAACAGAAGAACCAGAGGAAAGAGTCTATATTAACTACAACCATACAAAAGGAAAAGTGATGAGGAAAGGCAAAGTTGATGAATACTTGTAGTAACTACAAAATGGAGACATATGCATTCAAACTCTTTTATTCAAATATATCTAGTTTCACAAATAGTTTGGTTCTACTGGTTTTTAATATTAACTTTATAATTCATTAAAATTCACAATCTGAACATCACTTCACAAGTACATTTCCAAAACATCTGAGCAGTTATGAAAACCCAGCCAGTAAAAATCAACAGTGTTTTGATTGTCCTGACTTAGATGGGTCCTAAGTTGAGGGCACTTTCATGTTTACTGAATGGAGGTGAGTGTTTGTATATTATTTACCCTGTACAACCCTGTACATCCCATGGTGTGATGCTAAGCTAATGAGAGGGCTCATGGACACAAAGAATTCCATCTTTGTGAGGGATCAGGTTTATACTGTTTGTTATCTTGGGGTAGTTACTCTTTTAACAAAGCAGTCATCGCTCAGCATTTCAGTTACCGAGTATTTAAAAGGCGTGTTACAGCTAAACACAATTCCACTGCTTTTGAGAGTGACCATGAAAGTTGCTACTAGGAATTTAAGCCATTTTGAAAGACATATCCGCTCTGGAGCACCCTGGGTTTACAGCACTTTTGAAACGAACTGGACGACAGGAAAACATGAATGAATTTCAGACATTTTAAAGAAAGAATACTGGAGCATTTGGGCCAGAGACAAGAGAGTCCCATTTTTGGCCAGGCCTAATTAGCCTAATCCTGGAACCGGAAGCAGTCACTTGCGATCTTCCACACGGTGCTGTTTGGCATGACTTGGGCAGTCAACAGGAAATTCTGGTTGAAATAGCGCTGTTTGTTCCCATCAAATTTCACTGTTCCACAGGTCACCACAAGGACGGTTGTTTGACTCTGAGTCGCTTGCTCTACACACAGAAGAAGAGGGAGAGAATGGGAACACCCATAAAAGTTAGATACACTAGGACCCAAGTAGTCTTTCCTCTTTCCAATCCCAATTCCTAAGGCACAGGTTGGCTCTCATGTCATCCGCCAGCCCAAATGCCACCTGCTGCCTCCTTATTGCCCCTAGGGCAAAGCACAGGCTCCTCATGTTGGCATATAAAGTCCTTCACCATCTGGCTCCAAACTCCCTTTGGAGATGTTTCTATAGCAGTCCCCTTAAAACCCTCTCCTATTTGCTGTTCTGTAAACCCATATCCTACTTCCCCATCTCTGTGTCTTCACACAGGTGGTATCTTTCCTATCTTCCTTCCCTCTCCAAAAAGTAATAATATTAATTCTGGAATATCCTCCCTTCCTTACCACCTCTGCCTCAATATTTCTTTTCATTCAACTTTCAGATCAGGTACCACACAAGACCTTTCCTGATTTTCCCCACTGGTGGTACTCTTTCCTTACTCCAATTATCTCGGGTCTCTGTGACATGCTGTCTTCCCCCAGCAGAATTTAAGCTCCTTAGGGACAAAAATGAACTCTTCTCCCCCTCCCTTACCCTCTTCTTCCTTCCTTCTTTCCATAGGGCCAAGCACCATTCCCTGCACACAGTAGAAATGTTTCTTAAATTGACCTTGCCATCTACTCTAACTAGAAAAACTCCAGTATCACCATAGATGATATATAGCTATCCTGCTTGTACTATCTGACCCACAAAGTCAGAAAGCTAAAAGCCACAGGTGCATTTCAATGACATATCAAAGCTCTGTTCCTTCTAGATGGATGACTGAATATGTAAAGTTGAAGGCTGCATTTCACAGAGCTGTTTTTGCTGGTGAACTCAGGTCACCCAGAAATAGTACCAGAAAAAGATAAGAGAGACTTCTGGCCCACCTAGAAGGGAAAGAGATCATGAAACAGTAACTGTTGCAGTTTGAGTCTAGGCCTAAATTACTTTTTTAAGCATTAAAGGACTCTAAGAAATCTGAATACATTATTCAGCAATTCTGGGTAACTCTCAACTAGACTTTTCAGGGCACAGCAGGCAAGTATGTGCTTGAGAATTTCTCTAGTTTCTTCCTCTGCACCCAAAGTCCCATTTAACCCTGACATTTCACTGACATTTCACTGTAAGGCCATGAATCACCACAAATAGGAAACTATTCCAGGATACAGAGAGAAAGACTTTCAAATGGAAGAGCTGAGAGGCCAAATACTTGACTATTGAATGACTCTCAAGTTTTCTTCCCTCCTAAAATATCTCTCCTTTCATGAGCTTCTGTGATTTGCTTCAGTTCAGAAAATGAGTTAAGGAGCAGAGATTAAGACTCAAAGAGATCTCTGAGCCTCTAGAGCAGTGCCCTTCAGGCCTCTATTTTCTCATTTGCCAAATGATGGGGCTGAACTAGAAGGTCCTTTTCCAGGTTTTAAGATTTCTGAGTTGGTTTTAAGGTGATTGACTAGTAATCAAATACAAAATTCTTCAACAACCTACTTTGAATAATTAAAGTCTAATATTACTATTTAAGAACACAATGTTTATTGCATGAGAAAACTTATCTTACCATGAACAGGTTGGCAGTCTACCACACTGATCTGAAACTCACTGGAAGGCAAAGTCTCAAAAAATTCACTCAAAGCATTTAGTCCAGATATGGCATTTCCATTCCAAACTAAAGTAGCTGTATCAAGGTACAATCTAGTCAGTACCTAAAGAAAAGATAGAAATTTCTGTTTTTTGTAATTTTTTTTCTAACACCAAATCCACTTGTCTTCTCCCTTTAATTAATATTCATTTTCCCAACCCCATGCTATCAATTCTACTAGAATACATACTCCATTCAGCCTTTAGCTAAAGTGACTAATGAAAAAAGGGCACAGGCTTTTAAAGAAAAGAACCTATGCAAACCAGGTATAGGAAAGGTTGGGAATTATAACTGTATAGTGTCAATCCAACTGGGCTGTGAATCAAATACCTTTCTAATGTAACCAGATATGGCCTGTAATATGGGGGGAAAGCTAGCATTTACATAGGCTTTAAGGTCTGCAAAGTGCTTTCCAGGTATTATCCCATTTTATCCTCAAAACCCTGGGATGCAGATACCTTTTACAGTTGAGGAAACTAAAGCAAGCAGAGGTTAAGTGACTTGCCCAGAATCACACAGCTAATAAGTGTGAGTCTACATTGGGCCTCAGGTCTTTCTGACTTTGGGTCCCGAGGAAAGAAAGGAGGAAGGGAAGGAAGGAGGGAGAAAGGAAAGGAGGAAGGAACGAAGGAAGGAAAGAAAATCAGGTAGCATTAGATCAAATGTGACATCTATTACCTGGTGGACTCTCACTAGCATTATCCTATTTTGGCACTCTGAATTTGAAGTCACTGGACCTGGGTTTAAATTCTGACTCCTTGTGCCACTAGGCAAGTCAGTTGACATTTCTGAGATTGTTTCCTTATTTGTAAAATGAGGGGATTAGGCTAGAAAGCTTTAAAGGCTGAGTGAAACTCTAAATCCATGGCTAAGGGATAGAAAACAGCTAATAATAAAGAAACAGAAATAATCCACTCACTTATGCAAAGCAGCCGAGGAGGCTGTGAGTAAAGCCAAATGGGTCTCAGTTGTTTTAAGTGCCTATAATACTCACCCTTCTTCTTTTATCTATGGTCTCATAGTAAATATTGACAAACTCTTCAGCAGCTCTACAGGCCTGATCTGCATTGGTTTTAAAATCCTAAAAGAAAAATTTAGCATATACACTTACAAAGTTGGGCCAAGTTCATCTCACCTCCACAAAGGGAGTGTAACTTAAGCTTTAGACACTTAGATGACCTCTGAGGTCATCTGTGGTTGAATTTGAAAAAGTCACTTCCCCACTCTAGGCCTCAGTTTCCCCTTTTGTAAACCGAGGGGGTCAGATTCGAGTGCCTCTGAGGCTCCTCTCAGTCCCGTGGCCTCAGTTTCCCCTCGGATGGCCTCTGAGGTGCTCCTAACGCTCGGAAGTGTGGTATGTACAGACATCCCTGGGCCTCTTTGGGCTCCAACTAGCTCCCAACACCACACCCACCCACGTGTGGGGATGGTGTTTTCAGCGCGAAATTGAACACCACCAAGCGTACGCTGTGGCTGCGGCGGTCACACTCTCACTCCCGGCCCGGGACCCCTCATCGGCCTACAGCTTCAGTGAGTGTCCCTCTACCTCAGCCCCGGCCCCGCCTCGGCCCTCCACCCCCGCCCGCCCGCGGAGTCTGCCTCCTCCTCTCTGTCAGAGGCCCACGCGGCCTGACTTAAGAGGGCCCGGTCTGAGAAGCAGCGGTGACGCTAGCGGCGGGAGCGGGCGGGAAGGTGTCCCCATCGCCCCTCAGGCCCCGCCCCGGGACCAGCGGGACAGGCGGGCAGGTGGCACCTCCCTCGCCACCTCCCTACCACCCCAACGCCGCGCCGGGACCTACCACAGACATTGCCATTGCCGCTTCCTATCGAGAAAGCAGCTTTGGTGGATCGGGGCTTGAAACGAGGTATGAATGCTGCGGACGGCTAAGGGAAGCTCTGCACAGTGCAAAGGTAAAGTTGAAGTCTGCCGGAAGCTCTTCCGGCTCTCACCGGCTCGCCCCGCCTCCTCCAACTCTTACTCTGGGCGCAGTCACTCCCGTTCCGCCTCTTTTTTTAACGTAACAGTTTTCCCGCTGATGATTGGCTACCTGAGCCGCCAGACACTGTCCAATGGGCGTGAGACAGGGACAGCGTCCAATGAAAGGCAAGAAATGTGACTCCTGGGCGGAGCATGTCTGAGGAGTATCATAGAAGGAAAAGACGAATCAAAGGGATGGAGCGGTAACCCGGCAACCGCGTGGTGGGCGGGCTGAGGACATCTGTACCTATTAACTAGGAAGCATTTGCCAATAAATCAAGAATATTGCTAAAATGAATGGATTCTCTGTTTTCGGATTGAGAATTCGCGAATCTGGGGAGGGCGAGTCCTAGCCTGAGACTCTGGAATCCCTATTTTACTGAAAAAAGTGATGCGATTAGCCGAGAGCTGCCTCTGCTCGCCTTCCCTCCCCCTCAGCCCACCCCATCCCACATCACCCTCACGCCCTCCCTCACGCCCTCCCTCACTGTCTCCTCCTTCACCCCATGGACTGATCGTTCTCTTCGTCAAGGCCAACCCTTCTACATGCACAAGTGACCCCATCTCATCCCATCTTCTCCAGCAGATTGATCTTTAATCTCACTGATCTTTAATCTCTCCCTGTCTACTGCCTGCAAATATGCCCATGTCTCCCCCATCCTCAAAAAAAAACAAAACCCTCTCACTCCATCCCTCCATCCCTCCATCCCTACTCATCCCTAATCATCCTATATCTCTCCTGCTTTTCATGGCTAAACTCCATAAGAAGGCTGTCTATGGTCAATGCCTCCACCTCCTTTCCTCTCACTCGATTCTTAGCTCTGCAATATGACTTGCCTTCTCACCTCTTGACTAAAACTACTCTCCAAAATTACCAATGATTTTCTTGTTGGTGGATCCAAAGGCCTTTCTGCCAGTCCTCACTTTTCTTAACCTCTCTGCAGTCTTTGATACTGTTGATCCATCCTTCTGGATACTCTTTTCTCCAGTTTTCTTGCCACTGCTTTCCTGGTTCTCCCCCTACCTTTCTGATCACTCTTTGTCAGTCTTCTTTGCTGGATCACTCTACATATCCCACCAGCTAACTGTGGGTATACACCCAAGACTCTGTCCTGGGCCTTCTCTTTTCTCTCTATACTCTCTAGGTAGTCTCATTAGCTTCCATGAGTTTAATGATCATCTCTAAGCAGATGATTCCTAGATGTGTGCCTCCAATTCCAGTCTCTTTCCTTAACTCCAGTCCCTCCTCACCAACTTTACGAATATTATCTCCCGTGATGAATGAATGAAATAAAGAAATAGTCTCTGTCCTCTGAGGAGTTAACATACTAATAGGGGGATGCTCCACATTTAGGGGAGTAGTAACCAGAGAGGGGCGTTTTGTTCTGTGGAGGTAGAAAACAGGGGAGGGTGGTAGGCACATCATAGGATCACAGTGTCCTCGATCTATAGACAAAAGGGATTTCATTGGCTTTTGAGTCTAACCCAATCATTTTACAGAGAAGTAAACTAAGGCACAGGAAAAGTAAAAAGACTTTCCCAAAATTACACACAGGTGGTAAGTGGCAGAGACAAGATTTGAACCTAGTAAAATTTCCACAGTGACATGGCCAGGATGGGTGGTCTGGTGTTTAATGCCAGTCAGTTACTATAGGAGGCTAAGGGCAGAGGTGTGCAGGAGGTGGAGAGCTGGTTATTAAATTTTCAAGGTGAGAATTTACACCTTAGAAATCAGCAAATGCTACAAATCTGGGCTTGATTTGTTTTGCTGATTGTCTGGATTTATGAAAGTGATAGAGACAATGTTAATAATGTAGGTTAACTTAAAAAGTATATCATGGGCACTTTTTTTTTCTTCAGAGAGCTGGTTATTAAATATTTGCCAACATGTCCCTGGCTAAATGGAATCGTTTACACATACTCAGCCACCAAGGCAACTAGGTAACAAAGTAGACTGGGCCTGGAGTCAGGAAGACTCTTCTTTCTGAGTTCAAATCTGGCCTTAGGACATTTACTAGCTGTGTGACCTTGGACAAGTCACTTCACCCTATTTGCCTCAGTTTCCTCATATGTAAAATAAAGTGGAGGAGGAAATGACAAACCATTCCAGTATCTTTGCCAAGAAAACCCCAAATGGGCTCATGGAGAGTCAGACATGATTGAAAAATGACTTGTCAACAGGACTGGAACTGGCCTCTAACCTGTGGACGGCAGAAGCCAAACAAAGCAGGCCAAAGGCAAGTGTGTCAGGAATCAAATACCAGTTTAACTAATTTCAAAGTGAGGAAAAGGCTTGCAATCGAAGCCTCCCTAAGTAGAAGGACTTAACTTGCTGGGGGAGGGGGAGGGCTTATATACGTGAAAACCACAAGGGGTTGGAACACAACACAATCATTCTTAGGTCTTGAGTAGAGTTCCTATGGTTGGCATTTCTTGGGACAATACAGGTGTTCTTGGGTCCCATGGAACAGTCTCTAAGTTGAGTAAGGGTCATTGAGCCTTGTGATCGTTCAATGGGGTACAGAACCAGAGTTAGCATGGCGGGAACAGGAGTGCAGTATCTGGTTCAGTTCACTTGGCAGTTACATAAGCACAGGTGTCAGGAGATGATTGATTGCTTTCTGCTACAGCACTTTGGCTCTCAGGTCCCTGGGAAATAGGGGGAGGGAGCTCTGACAAATCTAAACAGTTATTGGTTAACATTAAAATCCCTCAATGAACACCCGGTGCTGGTCAAAGCAATATACTTTGCCAGAGGGTGAGATCATCCAGAACGCAAAGGATTGTTGTTATGCCAAACTCACGGTACACATAGCCTGCCTTCTGGGTCTTAGCTCTAGGAAACAGGGTGTCTCCAAATATCTTGACAGACTGAACAACAAAACATCTCAGCCCCTAATCAAATGAGTCAGGCCCTGGGATTGGAAATCCAAAGATGAGTGAATTCACTTCCTCAGGGTCTGGGCCCTAGATTCTCCTATTGCCTGCTTCCCTACTGCCTACAAACATGCCCATGTCTTCCCCATTCTCAAAAAGCCCTCATTTGATCTATCTATCTCCACTAGCTACCATTCCATATCTCTTCTCCCTTTTTTGGCTAAACTCCTTGAGAATGCCTTCTGCAGCAGACACCTCCACTACCTTCTTCTTCATCGGAGCCAACATCTTCTATCTCTGGCTTGTCCTCAGATTCCTTTTCTTCTTTTTCCTTCTCCTGTTTCTCTTCTTTTTCCTCTGTTTCATCATCGCTTACTTCTTTATCCTGTTTTTTTCCCCACAAAAAGTGTAATTGGATAACTATAAACTGAGAGTGCTTCCTCCCAGTTTCCTTTATTCTTCTTTCCTCCAGGTACTCAGTTTGGTCCTCTTTCAGATGCAGAATTGCTTTTGTTTCACAACCCATAGGTTCACCTACATCAGTCCTAATGGTGAATGACCCTCTTGCTGAAGACTCCCAGGCATACCTTTCATCATCATTATGTTTAGTGATCACGGTCACCTTCTCAGCAACAAGAAAGGCAGAATAAAAACCAACACCAAACTCAGCAATCATAGAGATATTTATACCAGCCTGTAATGCTTCCATAAAAACTTTGGTTCCAGACTTTGCATAATGTAGAGATCTTTCTGAGAGGGCTAATTTCAAATTCATCTGATGCCCTGCTACAATATTGTACAGGATTGTTGATTAAATCATCTTTGGTTATTCTAATACCAGTATCCACAATGGTAAGGGTACAGTTATCTTTGTTTGGAATGATGCTAATGTTCAGCTCTTTCCCAGAGTCTAATTTACTTGGATCTCTCAGACTATCACATTTGATTTTGTCCAGGACATCAGATGAGTTTGTAATTAGCCCTCTCAGAAAGATCTCTTTATTAGAGTAGAATGTATTAATGATCAAAAACATGAACTGAGCAATTTCTGCCTGAAAAGCAAAAGTCTCCACTTCCTTCTGCTCCATTGGTTGGTCCTGGGTCTGCATTTCCTCAGGCATCTTGGCAGAGAGAACAAGAGCCTGAAGGGTTCAGCTGGCAGCAAGATGAAAGAAGAGCAAACTGGTCAGTCTAAGTCTTTTTGTATCTTACTCCCCACCACATAGTTGTAATTTGGTGACATTGGCCTCCCTGTTATTCTTTTTATTTATTTGTTTGTTTGTTTGTTTGTTTATTTGTTTATTTTGATTTAGCAATAATCACTTCCATATGCTTTTGAGTTTAAAATTTTTCTCCCCCTTCCTCCCCACCACCCTCCCCAAGACAGCACACAATCTGATATAGGCTATACATATACATTCATATTAAACATATTTTCACATTAGTGATGTTGTAAGTAGAAATTAAAACCAATAGGAGGAACCATCAGAAAGAGAAAACAAAACTCAACAGAAGAGAAAAAAAATAACAATTGGGCTTCCATAGTTCTTTGTTTGGGTGTGGATAGCATTTTCCATCACAAGGCCTCTGGAGATGTCTTAGATCCTTGTATTGCCAGGAAGGGTTAAGTTTATCAACATTAGTCATCACACAACGTGGCTGTCATTGTGTACAACGTTCTCTTGGTTCTGCTCACTTCACTCAGCATCAGACCATACAAGTCTTTCCAGGTTTTAGTGAAGTCAGCCTGTTCATCATTTCTTATAGCACGATAGTATTCCATCACATTCATATACCACAACTTGCCCAGCCATTCCCCAATTGATGTGCATCCTCTTAATTTCCAATTCTTTGCCACCACAAAAAGAACTGCCATGAATATTTTTGTACATGTAGGTCCTTTTCCCATTTGTGTGATCTCTTTGGGATATAGCCCTAGAAGTGCTATTGCTGGGTCAAAGGGTATGCACATTTTTATAGCCCCTTGGGCATAGTTCCAAATTGCTCTCCAAAATGGTTGGATCAGTTCACAACTCCACCAACAATGCATTAGTGTTCCAATTTTCCCACATCTTCTCCAACATTTATCATTTTCCTGTTTTGTCATG